TGCAGCTGTTTACAGACAGAGACACGGTAATGGATGTACTGGCCACTGGCCATGACAACCACCTGATGAAGATCAATGACCGAGAGACTCTGTTAGTTACACGTTTAAATGCCTGGAAAGCAGCCCTCATTAAAGGGGTAGGGAGCTGAAATTACACTGAAACAAACAATTTTATATTTTATAATTTATATTGTTTACATGGATGACTGCTTGCCTCCATATCTTACAATCTTTTGTGTTTGTTTGCTTTTTGTCTTTATGGGTTGTTACAGATTCAAGACAAAGAACTTAAGCTACACCGCATTCGTCTCTCAGACATCCACAGATATGCTGACTATCTGAGGAAGCAGCTGGAGGAGATGCAGTAGCATCATCAGTCACACATTCCTCCCCAAACATTCATTTATGTATTTTCACAACCTGACTGAACAGCTGACAGACAAATTATACTATGTACAAGTAAAAACTGTTATCTTTTATGATTTTTATAGTTGTTTCTTATGCAATAAAATAATTCCCCCTGGCCTGTTTAATAGTGAAAAGGGGTATTTTAATAACCATTATATTGTTTTAGTATCTTGCCTTGCCAAGTGAATACATGTGCATGAGGTCTATGTGTTGTACAAACTGATATCACAAGAAAATGAACAGTACAGAGGGTGTAGATCAAAAACAGAAAAGCAAAAATATATATTCAAGAACATAAAATACTGTACTGTTTAAGGTTTTAGGCACTAATAGTTTTTATTTTTAATTACCTTTATATGAAGTGCAGGAAACAAAAAACCTAAATATATATATAAAAGTTGTCTCAGTGTCTTTTGTCTCTTCATTTAATCCCAGACTGACCCTAGATGTGGAGATCAGGGCTCTGTGGGGGCCATACCATCTGATCCAAGACTCTTTGTTCTTCTTGAAACTGAAGCTATTTCTTTTTGACTCTGGTTGTATGGTTGGGTTCATACTGCAAAATGCATATAGAACTGGTCAGACATCTAATTTACCTAAAACATTTGCGTTGTACTGTATAAATAAACAAATATATAGGCCTACACTTGTAAAAATGAATTTAGAACTGAAACACCAAATTAAGCAAATCAGTTTATAAAAGTCACTAAAAGCATAAATGCAAATCATTCCGGAATTGTGTATAAATCAGCGGTTTACAAAGTGTGAGGATTTCAGAGGAGGTGCAGTGTAACAAAAATCAACCAGAAAAAATAACTAAACATTAAACATCAGTGTGTGGGGCAAAATGAAAGGATTTGTACAAGGTTACTTCAGTAAAAGAGGAGGCAGAGTTTGCAGCGAGCAGGAAACGGACTAAGTGTGATTATGATTATATAAAGTTTTAATGTACTGGTCCTGATGAGGTTCCACTGCCACTATGTGTTGTTTGCAAAGTGGTGCTAACTAATGACAGAATGAGACCGTGTGAACAAGTTTGGTGATCAAGACATGGGAGTTTGTTGATAGGAAGCCAGATGAACTACAATCACATAAGAAAGTGATTGAGATATTTAGCACTGTGAATACTGAGGCAACCGGCAAATCATATTGTGTTGCATTACACATGGCAGGTATATTGAGTACGCACGATGGGGAGACAGTGATATGAAAAGCAGCGCGGTGCATAGTACACAGTGATGATTTGGTTTAGTGCCGAGTGAGTTTGGTGTGTTCAGAATGATTTGACTTGTGTATGTTGTGGGGATTTTTGTCCAATTCCCCTCATGTTGTGACATACTTAGGACAAAACCTAGTTACGTGTCGAGTTTGTTTGGACAGTGCGTGTAAGACAGACCTCCCTGCTCTCCCTCTTGCTGGCTCATTACTATTTTAGATAGCTGCTGCAACACAATGTATGATTATCTTGAATTGAGGCTAGTAAGTTTATTGTGGTCTGTTTTCATTTTGCGATTGGACTGTGGATGATTAATTGGCCAATAGTTTAACATAAGAATAGCCCACAGTATAAGTGTGAATGTGGGAGAACACTCAACACAAATATATACATATATTTATGAAATCAGTTTATAAGAGCAAAGATTTTTATTGTCAATTCACTATATGTGCAGGGCATACAGAAAAATCTAAATACTTTTTCTTTCTCACCTAATGTTGAATGCCCATACCATTTAAGAAACTAAAATAGAATAAAAGTAGAATACGGTAAACACAGAATAAACAGGGTAGTGAACAGTGTTCAGCATCCTCACAGCCTGGTGGATGAAGCTGTTTGTAAGTCTGGTGGAGTGGGCCTGGAGACTCCGATACCTTCTCCCTGAAGGCAGGAGTCTGAAGTGGGAGTGTGCAGGGTGGGAGGTGTCATCAACAATGCTGATGGCTCTGCGGGTGAGGCGGGTGTTGAAGATGTCTGTAAGGGAAGGCAGAGGGGCACCGATGATCTTGCTGGCTGTTTTCACTATGCGTTGCAGGGTCCTTCTGCAGGAGGCAGTACAGGCTCCATACCACACAGTGATGCAACCAGTGATGACGCTCTCAATGGTGCCCTGGTAGAAGGAGCACATGATGGGGGGATGAGTCACTGGGTCTCCTCAATTTGCGAAGGAAGTAGGGGCGTGTTTGAGCTTTCTTGGCCAGTGTTGTGGTGTTGTTGGTCCAGGAGAAGTCCTCAGAGATGTGCACCCCCAGGAACTTGGTGCTGCTCACTCTCTCCACTACAGCACCATCGATGGTCAGTGGTGGATGCTTTAAAGATGTTCTCCTGAAGTCCACAACGATCTCTTTAGTCTTCCCCAAATTGAGGGAGAGGTTGTTGTCCTTACACCACTGGACCAGTTGGCACACCTCACTCCTGTAATAGTCTATAAGAGTGGATTTGTCTTCCAAAAATGTTTACATTTATTGTTGAAAGCCATTTATATGGGTGAGTGGAACAGTAGGCTACACCAACAGATAATAAAGCTTAATTGGGGGGTGGGGGCTGTCTCCATGATCTCTTCTGAGGGCAGGCTCACCTCCACACACTTTGAAACCCCCTGGTTTAAAATAAAAAATAATAAGCCCCAATAAAATATATGCATTGCATGTTTATCACATTTGATGTGAATAGTAGAAGATGAGGAGATGTTTTCCAAAAAGACACAATCGTTTAAATTTAAAACTCGGGTCTTTTCAAGTCCAAAGCATGGACTTTTTCGTGTCTGTCACGATTGTGGCGGTGTAGTAGAAAATTGACTGCACCTCCCATAAGGCATTTCGGTACATTATCCAATTAAATTCTTGGTCAAGCCAAGCCGTCACTTTGCAACCAATGAAATGCAGGGATGCTGGATTTTCAAATGCGACGGTGCAGTAGAACGTTCATGGACCTTTCGCAATATTGAGCAAGGTTTTAGAGGTCGGGGGTCATTTATCAGTAGCTTTTCTTCTTTTTCTTCAGCTTTTGTGTGGTCAGTCACAGTTTTCATGACGGTTACTGACGGTGACACGTTAACGCTCATCATGCCTGCCCGAGCAGCGTGCTGCAGTGCTGCCAGCTCAGCCTGCCAATCCACGGCTTCTCTCATGCCTCCTGCCCCGATCAACACATTTCAGCCGGGGGTGACCACCTCACTGCTGTACAGTGGGTCACAGTTTCGGGGTCACCAGAAGAGCAAAGGCAACTCCTACGACGTCGAGGTTGTTTTGCAGGTAACTACGCTGTCATTTATGTGTACTAATCCTGTTAGGTCTTAACATTAGTTTGTTTATTATATGCGGCGTTAGCATATTTGTAGCTCAGGTTGCTAACTTAATAATGTTAGCTCCATTAGCTTAATTTTGTTGTCAAACAGTACTAACACACTGACCTAATTTTAAGCCATTCCGTGTGACTGTTTATTTTAGGACATTTTTTTAAAGATTTGGTCCAAATTAAATTAAAGTTTTCGTCAGTAATGTTTGTGTAACGTTAAAAATGCTGTCCAGACACGTTAGCATGCTAGTAATGTAAATGCGTGTAACTAAGCTAGCTACTCGCGTTGACGTTGGCACAAATGTCAGTAGCTTTACTAAAAGAGAATACAGTGCTTGTCTGCTTGTCCACTTAATAATGTTTCTCTGTGTTCACAACACCTCTCCTGCATTTTTGTATCATAAAAAAGAGAACCATTTTTGCACCTGGGATTTCAGGCCACCTGACAGAGTAATTTTGTGTTTGTCTTGGGCAGCACGTCACAGTTGAGGACTCATATTTGTGTGGATATCTGAAAATCAAAGGCCTGACTGAGGTAAGACTTGAAAGTAGATTAGCTGTATTAAGACAGGCCTTCCTTCTGTGTTTAGGTGAGAAGAAACTGCGTTGTACTTGGTTGTTTCAGGGTAAATTGTGCCAGGGATTGGAGGCAAACACAAGTGAAGTGATTAGGTTTCACCTCTTCTTCAAGGTCCATATAGTAGTCTGTAGCTAAAGTGTGTCAGCTGTATACCCAATAATATTGCACAACAGAGAGGTGGAAGGGAAAAGGTCAGCAGGATCCTGGAGTAAATTTTGGCTGCAGCAGAGTGAGGTGAAAGATGAGTAACTAAGTCGTCCCCATGTCTATACACAGTCATTTGAACTAACAAAGCATTTATGAGAAACAGAATAAACTGTTGCTCACATTCATTAGTTTAAACATGTTTGAGTGCATTTACTTGTATAAGTAGCTTGTATATATACAGTGCACTAAATCAGCATGCAAAATAATCAGTTCTCATGTTTAATTGGCAGCACACATTTTAAGAAGCTGACACAACAATCTTAAATCATCCTCCTGAACTTGTGAAATTTGGAAAAAGTTTCACTTCCAACTTTGTTTCAGCTTTTTTTTTTCTTCCCTCCCCAATTTTGTTTCTGTGTGACAGGAGTATCCCACTCTCACAACTTTCTTTGCTGGTGAAATTATCAGTCAGAAAAGGCCTTTTTTAACCAGGAAGTGGGATGCAGATGAGGATGTGGACAGGAAGCACTGGGTATGTCCTGTTGACCTTTATTCTGTTTTTTTTACCATTTTTCAGATAGGGCTGTCTATAAGTAACTAATGTTGTTAAATGTTATGTGCATATATCAAGTGATGCAAGTGGCAGGAATGATGAAGAAGTCAGTTACTGTTTGAGACATGTTGCAAAAAAGCCTATATCAGTCATTTAAATGAAACTTTTCATTAAAAAACATGATAATCTTTACTTCCAAGGTCATGGTCAAGTATTTTGTTTTGTTTTGTTTTTTTGTCATATGCACAGTGAGGAAAGGTGTTTCCCTGTACAATGAAACTCTTACTTTGCCCTCCACATTCTTACTTGTTTTGTCAACATCTTCCTGGTTTCAGTTGCTTTACCAGTATTTAATGAACTTTTACCAGGGTAAGTTTCAGCCTTTTTACAAATACGCCAAAAACTTCAACTCGGATGACTTCGACTATGAAGTGCTGGACAGCAGTGATTATATCTTCATGAGATGGAAGGTTAGTACATGATTGTCACTTCTCATCTGTCTTGCTCTCCTCATGTTTGCTTTAAACTCTAACCTCCACTGATTTTTCTGCACTGTCAGGAGCAGTTTCTAGTTCCAGACCATACCATCAAAGACATCAGCGGTGCCTCCTTTGCAGGGTTCTACTACATCTGCTTCCAGAAGTCCACAGCCACTATTGAGGGGTACTATTACCATAGGAGCTCTGAATGGTAACAACCTCTGCTGTCCATACCTTAACAGTATTACAAACAAAATCCATTCTGTCCTAAGCTGATATTACTTTTTCTTTTTTTTTTTTTTAACACCTACAGGTACCAGTCTCTCAACCTAAACCATGTTCGAGAGCACAGTATGCCTATTTATGAATTTCGGTGATGCAGTCATGCAGGAATATTGAATAAAGTTATGGACAGTTCATACTGCCCTGTGCTTAAATGTGACAGGAATGATGAAGAGCCCTTTAATGTCTAAGGGGTGACCTGTTTCCTCACTGCTGAGAAAATGAGCAAGTGGTCAGACACTCTTCTGGTGGTCTGAAAGAAGCTGGCACAGAGAGAATGATGGCAAGCAAGACAAAGAGTGCTATATGGAAGGTTCTCAGTTGCTGTAGAGCTAGCATTTGCCTTGGATTTTGTTTATACCCTTAAATTGTCTTTTTTGTGTGGCATTTTTTTTTTGCACCTTCATGGGAGCTACCTCCCTGTAGTTGGACATCAGAATAGATTCCTGTTTTCCTTCAGTGGAGACACTAAGACATAATTGCCTTTCAGTTAAGAGTTGCACAAGGAAAAGTCAAAAGTTGTGAGAGGAGCTTTGCTCAGTAAACCCTAAATGTATCTTTCTTTTTTTTATGTAGTGTGTTTTGGCAATATTGCTTTGATACTCCATAGTCATTATTCCAGAGTGTGATGGTGGGGGTCTTGCCAAAGGTTTGCAACAGAAGCAGTGATGAGCAGTGACCTTCTTTATATGCAAGAATAAGTGATGGTGTGTTGATCAGGGATGGTGTTAACTGAAACTACAAATGCCCTCCTAACAGGTAATTAATAGCCAGTTGTTTTCAAGGCTGCTGCTTTTTCAAAAGTCCTCTAAAAAGTCTGTATTTGGCTCCACTTCAGACTCTGTCTATGCAAGCAGAAGCCCACTAATAGCCAGGATTTCTTACTTTTTATATTATTTGTCTTTAAGAAAGATGTATTTATTTTTTTAATAAGGGGGGGAAATGTATAAGTAATGGAAAATTATAGCAAAAAATAGGTTTATTTAATTACAGCAACCAGCATTTGAAGCTCAGTACACTCCTGTTTAGTTAGTCTGAAAGGTAACATCTTGCAGAGTTTCAGTCACTTCAACGGTATTAACAAACAGTGCTTGTTGACAGTGTGTTACTGTGTGTCCTTGAATATTATGTAAAAATCTCCTTGTGTGGTTGGTAGACTGTTTAAGTTGGAACCATTAATGGAGATAAAATGAAGCATTCTTTCGTCCTGCCACCTTACAATTTTAAATGTTTGTAACATTCCTCTTTTGTTTTCCCCAAAAAACTGATTGGGTAGTATTTTATTTGAAAGAAACCATGTAAGCTTATTTCTGTTTGGGAGAAATTTGTCCAAAAAAAGAGAGCTTTTCATTGTCATCATGAGGATTCTGAAAGTGTTTCTGAGAATAGTCAATGTACAAGTTATCTGCTGCAGACTGCGTGTGCTCTGCCTGCCTCTTTGTTGTGCTTTATAGGTTTCCAGGTGGCTCGGTCGCCTGCAACATGACCAGCAGATTGGATGGGTTTTTGTGGGAAGACTGTTGCCGCTAAGCAGAAAAATCTGAATAACTTCAAAATAATTTGCTCTTTTAAAATTAATAATGGAAAACAACAAAATGCACAATGTGAGAAAGATGTTTATTTGGAAGTGACGGTGAAAGTCTTGATTGAATATACCTGATTTAAAAAGGTTGATGTTAAATCTGCTATGAGTGTGTTGTGTGAGGAAAAATAAAGAACTATTTCTTACATGTTTTTACAGTTTTGGTGGTTATTTTGAGGTGTAATTAAAACACTTAAGTTAAGGAAGTCACATTTTCCAGTTGAAATCACAGCAGGCAGCCTTAGATGTCAGTATTGTTAGAGATTAATAAATCAGTCAGATAATTATTAGACTTTAATGTTAGTAATGTAGTTTAGTAAGATTCAAAGTCTGCTCTGTTTCAAGGTTAGCAGTAAGCCATGACACCAATTGTTTGTTTTCTTGTATTAATCTTGTGTTAGATGTGTGTCTGAATGATTGCTTTAGTTACGCACCACGTAACAATATCCACACACATTGAGCTACCTCATTTTGTTATGACTAGGTAATACGCAGCTGCTCCAAGCATGTGGAGCTCTAGATAAGAGATGGAGTCTGCTGGACGGACTTCATCTGTGTAAGGGGTTAACTGATAAATGTATTAGGCTCTGTGTTTCTGGGATCTCCTGTCTCCAGCAGCCAGAGTGTGTGTGTGTGTGTGTGTGTGTGTGTGTGTGTGTTTCTGGAGGAAGGAACAACCCGGATTGTGTTCTGTAATCTTTGTCCAATAAAAGAACTGGGGTATAACAGTAGGACATTGGGTAATGGACAGAGACAGTGGGATAGTGGACCTACACCAGAAGAGACCCTGTTTGGAGAGCACCTGCATCTTCTCTGCTCTAAATACACCTGCTCCAAAGCCATGCCCACCTCAGCCAAGGCGTGAGGCTGGAGTGTCCGTGTGTGGCAGAATTTCATCACCAGTGATGAAATTCCTTTGTAAAGGAACATGATACTTATGTGACAATAGATGTGCTGCATGCCTGACACCCCTATCATTGAGAATAAAGACTTGACTTGGCAGTGGAGTGAGATATATTAGGCTACGTGACAATGCCCCAACCCTTCCGGCTTTGGAACATTGCTGAATTTCCCTGTATTATCACCTGTGGTTGTTACGTCACGTAGCCACACCTGCCCCACTGATATAAATCCACCTGCGGGGCATCACTACACCAGTGTCGCCGAGACAGAGACTGTTGTTGCAGCTGGACTATTGTGCACACTTTGTGTTCCCTTTGTCGTTTCATCATGGAGACCCCGCGGTACCCCATCAGCGTCCGTTTGACTGGAGTGATCCACAAACAGAGCAGTAAAGTAAGATGGAGTGGATGGAGTCATGTCCCCTTATGTCCTCTCGGGCTTTACGCACCAAAACTGGGCTTTTCTGATGTGTTTATAACATTAGCATTTTCTTTTTTCCAGATGTTCGTGACCTCCGTGCTGTGGTCGGATAACAATGACATTGTCGTTTACAGAGGTTTTCGGGATTTCGAGAAAATGCACGTGAGTATAAAACATTCGCCAAAATCACGTGTTTGGCGTGTTGGTTTTTAATAACAGGCTTGTCATGTTTATTTGTTATACCTGTTATAGAAACAACTAAAGAAAGAATTCCCAGCAGCAAGTAAACTGAATACATCTGACAGAATCATCCCCAAATTTCAAGGTACGTCTGTGATTTTCCAGCTGTGGTTACTGTAAATCACATTATGCAGTTACAAAACTTTATTTGATGTCTTCTTTTCTTTAGTCAAGAAGATGAAACTAGGGGGACAGAGAAAGGGCCCCGCGAAATCGCTTGAATGCCTGAAGTTCTTGCAGAAATATTGTAATGAGCTTCTAAGCTGCGACCCGCGGGTCTGTCAGTGCGCCAGCCTCATCCAGTTCTTCCACCCCAAAGGCCAGGACCTGCAGCCTGACTTCTCTAAGAACAGGTACGACAACCAGGCTCCAGTTTGCTCTGTGGGCCATCTTCCACCTCTGAAAATAATGAACCAGGAATAGTGTGAATTTTCATTTAGGGCAGATGTAATAAAACATCAACAAAATTCATTTTACAATGGACAAACAAATCATTCGACCCCCATATATAAATATGCACAATCTATTCATTCTAAATGAAAGTAAATAATACATATTTAGAATAATACTCATTTGACACAGGTTTGTAACTTTCCAAAAATATCATTTTGACAATACTGCATTGAAAAAAAAAAAAGTCACATCATGACAAAGTTGCCATTTTCCTTCCTATTTCTTTACTTGGGTAAAATGTCTCATGTACATGATTGTTGTAGATATTAGCATATTTATAGAAATTCAGAAGTGCACAACAAACCAGAGTTGAAGATGAATGCAAACACACTATGTTCAGATCTGACTTTTAGTCTTTACCTTTGCCAAGAACCACAAAAGGTGGGCTGTGACTCTACAGCCAAAGGCAATTAGACACGTAACAGGTTTTCTAGGACATCTGCCTCCAAATTAACCCGCAGCTCTTATCTTTAGCATCATGATCATGCCATCAGAGGATGAAATCGGAACCGATGTGGGGCACGGTAACAGTGGTAGTGTGACCCAGCCATTTGTCATGGAAACATACAGATGTGTGGCCCCATATGAAACCAAAGACACCAAGAACAAACCTTTCAAAGTGGCAGCAAATGAAAAATTGGATGTGCTCATCAAAGACAAAACAGGTGAGCAAAAAGATTAGAGCTTTGTTGCTAGAACCAGGCCTTTTTAGCCCAAACACACTCTGGGATCAGTTTAATGTGTGTTTGTGTCGGTTCAGGTTGGTGGCTTGTGGAGAGTGAAGACAAACAAATTGCCTGGTTCCCTGCCCCCTACCTGGAAAGGCTAGATGATGATGACATAGATGAGACCGCTGAAAAAGGTACGTGCATAGATGCAGTTTGCTAAGACAAACACCATCACAGTTTGGTTTTGTTTTTTTTTACTTTCACATCAACACCTTATTACAGTGGGTGAATGTCATTTGCATACATGGTTTTGTTTTTTTTTTACTTTCACAACACCTTATTACAGTGGGTGAATGTCAGTCAAGATGCTACATGACCTTGTGTTTCAAGTCCTTCATTCCTCTTTCAGGAATGCTGTACACTGCAGTCAAGAGCTACAAAGCAACCAAAGATGACGAGATAACTGTAACCATCGGTGCACTGGTGGAGGTCCTGCAGAAGTCTGACAACGGCTGGTGGCTCATCAGGTATTGAACACATTCGACCTTGGGTGCAATTTTTACATGATACAAAACACAATAGAACTATCTAACAACAACCAATTAAGCAACAAAAACAATAAAAATACACAAAAGAAAATGTATCTAACTTGGTTTAAACACCTTGGAAAAAAGGTGCTGGTCATAAAGGAACGCCAGAGAGTGTGTGTGCTCATCCAGGTTTTTAATGCAGCTTGTATATAAACCAGTATGTTGGTAAGTGTAGTCTTGGACTTGATTGAAAGGCTTTAGTTTAATTTCTTTGACAGTAGCTGCTATCAGCAGGTGAAGACGGAGGAACAAGTTTGCCGTATTCAGAGACACACTGCATTTTGGTCAAAAGGCAGACTGAGGGCTGCATGTGTTAAATCACCTGGGACAAGACAAGAATGACTGTTAGTTAGATTTGTCATCCTTTGTAACCAGCCTGGATTTTCAGCTCAACATTCTTCTTCTTTTTTTTTTTAATAGATACAATGGCAAAGCAGGTTACATCCCCACCATGTATCTGCAACCCTACAACTGCATTCGTATACACATGACAACCCATCATCAAGATCGGCGTGACTCTGCCCCGGCCAACATCCTCTCCTCGCGATTGGAACAGTGCCAACAGCTTCCACCTGCCAGGTCTTCCTCGGCCCAGCAACGCAGAGAGCAGAGGTCACACTCTCTTAACATCTTTTCTCAACAACCTCCTGCTCACCTTGCAGCAAGTGCCTTTGCTGCTATCATTGGCACGACGCCCGCTGCTGCAAAACAGGCTCCTCCACACACCATCATAGTGGAGAGTGATGGAGAAGAGGTACAGCATGGCAGAAGCCTGGCAACAGGAAGTGAGAGGAGCTTGGCAAGCGCCGGCAGCGAGTTCAGCTTCAGTGATGACCTCAGCTCCTCTTCAGAGAGCTTATCCCTCAACCTGAACCACAACACTGGTGATGAACAGCTGCGTGTCAGCCATACACCTCCACCCATCCCTAGCAACCGCCTTAGCCCAACGAGCTGCCCAGAGAAGAAAATAATTCTCAGTGCCTCTGATCCATTACTCTATAAGGGACACACAGCACCTAAAGTTCCACCCAGGCCACAGGCTCAGGAGATCCTCGCCCGCTGCACCAGCATCACCTGCAAGAATGTAGTCGGAAGTAACCTGTCGGCCACACAGACTGAGATACTGAGTCGCTGAATGATGTCTTTTTTTTTTAAACCTTCTTTTGCTTAAAAACGAGCTCTATTAAGTACATCTGTTGATGACATTCATTTAATGATTGACCTGAGAAATTAAGATGACTATTCAGATAAATGGCTCTTGATTCCTTGCATTATATGTCTTCATGTGACTGTGGGAGCATGTAATAGTTAGGGTTAACATGTGATAACACTGATTTCAGGTTTACTAAGGTTGTTTGTATCTTTGAGACTGACAAGTATGCAGAAAATGTACAAAGACGTGTTTACAACTTGAACCAAACCAGCTTTGACCTAAAACAAAATGATTAATCAAAATACACTAAATATTCACAGCTCAACCCTTCACCATTTGAATGATTTGTTTTCCATACTGGAAACCTCATGTTGTGCTTTATATGCATATTAATGTGCTGAGTGCACAGCAAATGATTTTGTTCTTGTGATTGCAGAGAAAATAAACGGTTGTCTGAAATACCACTGTGTGTGTGTGCGTGCTGTTCTGTTCACTGGTAAAGCATGTTCACGGCCGACCACTTGAAGAACGACATGCATGGGTGTACCGTATATACACGCCACAGTCTCACCCTGTGAATGCTGGGTGTATTTGTTACTGAGGAGCTTAGAACAGAATTTTGGCCTGTAATCCTGTTACCACTTGTGCTTGAACCAACCAGTACCTCAGCTGAGCTTTACCAAGCTATGACGCCAAAGCTTCCAGTCAGCCCAAAGAGATTTTCATCAAGTTTGCACTAAACAATTAAGGTTTTTTTTGTTTTTTCTTTTTAGGGCAGTCACAGAATGTGAAGATGAAGTTTTAAGTGTTGCACAGGCAATTCAAAAGAGTTAGTATAATGCAAACATTTTGTGTAACTTTTATTTCATAAACATTTATAGACATATAAAACTGCATGATTATATAAAGGAACCTTGTGTGTGAGCTGGTAAATCGGGACTGTGCTCTACTGCAGATATAGACGCTGGGTACTCTGCAGTGGAGGAAGGGAACCCTGGCTCAAGGGGTCAATTTTTAAGCAACTATTCCTTCTTCCTCCTTTGTTTTTTCTAAAATACCAGAACCGATGTGCAGGGCTGAAAGTCTTTAGGACTGGGCTGCTGAAGAGGAATGCACAGAGAGGCATCTTATCTACATTCTTATCACTCCACACCTGTCTCTTCTGGTACTGCTGCACATTCAGCTAGTGGTTCCAGATAAGAGCCTGGGTTTGTGCTCTCCAGAAGCGAGTTGTCTGTGTTCGGCTTGCCGATTCCTGTCAGCTTGCAAAGGTCTGGCACTGAGAAGCAGAAGAAACTGGAAGACATTTCACAGTTTTAACTGGATCCTTTTCATCTTGGTCATTGTCTTCCTCCTCTGAACTCTCCTCACTTTCAGAGTGGCTGTTGTCATTTGTGGTGCTCTCTCCATATTCTACTCTCCTGTTGTTTGTGGAGGCTTTCTTACTGACGCTGACCTCATTATCTTCATCCTCCTCTTCTTCAACAGGGCAAAGTGGATCGTCATCTTGTTCGCTATCACTGTCATCGTGCCTCTCCTCACTGCTGCCCTTTCCTTTCTCCTTGTCAATCATAAAGAAAGGTTGGGTGTGTGCAAGAGGAGTGGTATCCATTTCTTCATCTTGGCCCCTGTTAAACAACAGATTAGTTCACAGGTTGCCAGTCCATCACGGGGCTGACACTTAGAGACAGACAACCACACACCCCCGCTCACTCCTAGGAGCAACCTAAGCTGCGTGTCACCTGGTGCTGAGGCCACGCACATTCCCACCAACCTCTAAAAATTTAACAAGCTGATTTTATTAATACTATTATCTTTATTATTAATTTATTTAGTTCCCCTCCTTTTCCCTTTCTTGTGTCATAGACTGAATAAGTTTATACTATACATTAACGATATATGTAAGGTTTCTGATTTAGTGAAAGTGGTTTTGTTTGCTGATGACACTACCATATGGGCATCGGGTGAAAACCTACAGCAACTCTCTGGATGGGTTACACAGGAACTTGAGAAAATAAAGAAATGGTGTGACAGTAATATAGTATCTCTGAATTTGGATAAAACTAAATTTATGGTATTTGGGAATCGTAGA